TTCAATAAAATGAGATGCAGTGGTATTCCTCTGCATGATCGTTGGGACGCCTGAATGAGTCCTTACATGTCTGGCACATTCTAAATACTCGAATGTTAGTGCATGAATGTTACTTTTTTTTATTATTTTTTAGTGCCTGTTATTTTTTAAAGCCCATAATGTTTCATATTATTCATAGGATTAACAAGAAAATTCCTTTATGAAGCCCTGCATGGACTGGTCACTTTTTCTTCCCTCCCACTATGTGCACTGCAGTGTCCTGACTTCGTGTCAGTGCTGAGCTCCATATATGCAGTTATTTCCACTCTGTAACATGCTTTCCTAGCCCTCAGACATCCCACCACCTCAAACAGCCCTTCCTAAGAGGCTCTTCCTAATTTCTACACCCGAGACACTGCTTTAATTATATCTTTATTCATTTCTTTAGGACATCTTGTCATTATGCTTTTAATTGTAGAGATAATTGATTAATGTTCACTTTCCATTGTACATAAGAAGCTGTGTTTTTATTCATTTTTGTATTACCAGCCCCTAACACAACATGGGTTGTGTATTTGATAGTAAATAATGATGGATCTACAAATGAACTAACTGATCAATCTTGCTTTGACCTAATATTTCCTTTCTCTTCTGTGATAGCACATAGAATTAAGTAGCTAATGAAAAGATATATGTGGTATACAAATTTTAGCTGCTGATGTTAAAAATCCTATGTATGAGTTGTCTGTGTTTCTCCGACAGTGTACTAGTTACATTCACATCTAAGGAGGCAGTATTTATGACTTTGAAATGCCATGCATGTAAAGAAATGGAGGGAGATGATCCATTGCAAAGATGTTATGAGTAGGAACAAAATTATCATCTGTTGGCAGCTAAAACTCGGAGACATCCAATATGATGCCATCAGAGTGACCCTCCAAGCCACCTGCCTGACTACAGTATCCTTAGCATGGACTGAAGTCTCTTTATCTCCTCTGTTGAAATTCTTTTGGCTGTTGGCTGTGGGCTTTCCAAGCCTGGTGCAGGAATTCAGGGTGTGCTTTTCTGAGGAATATGGTAGCATTCTTCAGTGCTGGTTATAGTGTCACCATCCTGTTGCAGCCACATGGTAGCCAGCAGTGAGCCTTGACTGGAGCTCCTCACCAGATGGTCCCTGGCCTGAAGATCATTGAGTGGTGCTTGTGTTGGTTTATTTATTAACGTGGTGCTGGGGACTGAACCGAGGATCTCACATGCTAAGCAAGCACTCTACCACTGAGCCATATCCAACCTCAATCAGTCAGTTGGTGTTTTTAGACTGAACTTAAAACCCAGATCAGAAAACTAAAGAACTACAACCTTTATTTGCATGTAAACCACTGTGCTAAAAAATGGAAATCAGGCACCTCCGATGGTTGGTGTTCCGGTGAGAAATGGAGAGTGCAGGGGAGGACTAACACACTGGTCCAGCACGTTTGCACATGTAATCGCAGAAGTACACACACCGTTGGTTCATTGCCTCGTAACCCACCTGACTAGCAGCTGTGCTATGTAAAACAAAATACGGATTTGTGTATAATTACTCCTGACTTCAGAATTAAACTAAAAAATGTAAACTTCTAATACTTAAGAGCCATATTTGAAGAACTTTTTTTTGTATTTAATTTTAGTTTTAAATACTTGATGTAGGAAACCAGTCTATAATTTTATCCAGCACCAGGTACTGCTGTTGAGTATTAACCATCATAACCTTGTATGTGTAGGTTGGCATACTCAGGCTAGTCCTCTCTGATGGCAATGTTCTTGCATAAGACTAGGCTTAACACTTTGTGAAAATTAACTTTATTTTATGGAATTTGTGTGTTACTTATTATGCAAGGAGTGCCAGAAGTCATCACATAGAAGGGTATTCACTGAGCCAAGTATCTTCGTTTCCCAGTTTTTAAATGGACAGGCCTCAAGTCCTGACTGGTGGTCCTATGCCTGTCCTGGGTAATGTCAAGTTTCAGGAAGCCTTAAGGGAATAGGATGCCCATGATCTGTTTATGCCCCAACTCTTTTTACCCTGCGACTCAAGCATAATTACCTAATGAGGCTGCGGAACTTGCCTTCGCGTGAGCTAAATCACCTGGGTCTGACATCCAGGTCCTGAGAGTAGCTCTCATGTGCCAGCAGCACAGTCTTGCTCCTTTGTCTGGACACTAACGTGTTCATGCTGAGATATCGCCAGCTTGTGTGACATCCTGACTGCACTGTCATGTAGTATGGGAGGGGAATGAGAGGAATGGGATGAGCCAGGGCATACTGTAGGTTATAATATAAAAGGCCTCTCTGCGTTGTCTAATAATTATAGGCTTCCTAGAGTCTTTGCATATACAGGTCTGAATAGATCTGACCTGAAATACTGATAGAAGATGCCACTGGATTATTTTGCAAGTTTTGGACCTGTCCATTATATGATCCTTTTATATTCCAAGCTATTAGTATGGAGGCTTACTTATAATGTTCTGTAGGTGCCCAGTGAATTCTCAGATAAACTGGGAGTCAAATTATAGAAAACTCTAGGGAATTCAAAACAGAACATAATAGAAGAAGTTGGCCATTACTGCTGTCTAGGACTTATAGGCTTATATGAAGGTGATGTTCCACCTTGAGTGCTTAACTCATCGCAGCCTGAATCTCCTGCTCTGAATTTCGGGGCATGTTATCAGCTGGAGGATTATTTCATGAAGTGCCTTTTTGTGTACTTGGTCATGACTGCAAGCACATCAAAGACAAAAGCTGTGTTCTAAACTCTCTTGTATTTCTACTTCCTTGATACTGCCAGTGTAAGTGACAAAGGTACCTTTGAGTATTGAAACAGGCTCTGCCCTAGGTGTCCAGGGTTCTAGCCTGGGCTCAGCCATATTTTTTCAGATCAAAAATACGATTTTCTTAAGAACTTGCAGGTTAGATAAATTTTTCATATATAACCTAATAAAATAACTAAAGTAGATAACGTTAGAGTGCTTACGTGATGGGCACACTGCTCTGTGCTCACATGGATCCTCTCATTCGATCCTCTCCTCAGCCCTCAGCTTCTCTGGTGGTAGAGGTTAGGAGGCTGTGGGTTGAGCATAGACCTCAAGTGCTTCCTGGGTGCTGGAATGGGTGGAATGCTCTGGAAAGGGCCACAGGCGACACAGGACTTGTCCTCAGGATGGAGAGAGGGGCCTCAGGGCCCCAGAGGAGGAGGGAGAGGGTGTTTCAGGTAAGAGTATCACAGCAAGCAGAGGTGTAAAGGTGGAAATAACAAGCATGGTGCTGCGTGGGACAGCAGGGGGGTTTGCAGTCTTTTGAGGGAGAATGAGTGGGGTCGAATTATGGAGTCCTTGAATGCTAGACCAGGGCATTTAGACATCATAATAGGGGGGAACCATGCTTTTAAGTGGGGTTTAAAAGAACTGGGTGCAAGCTGGGAGTGATGGTATGCACCTGTAATCCATTCAGAGGCTGAGGCAGGAGGATTACCACAAGTTTAAGTCCAGCCTGGGTTACATAGTGAGTTCAAGGCTAGCCTGAACTGCACAGGGAGACCTTGGCTCAATCAATGAATGAATGAATGAGAGGGAGGAAGGGGGAGGGGGAGAGGGAGAAAAGAAAGAGGAAGGAAGGAAGAGAGAGAGAGAGAGAGAGAGAGAAAGAGAAAGAGAAATGAGTGCAGGGTAGGTTAGAAGGAGCAGAACCTGGAGTCTGAGGCACTAGCAGCAGCCTCTTGTCTGTTGATGGAAGCAGCAAGGTTGGCAAAGGGGACCTGAGTTCTTCTCTTCCTTCTGCACTGGCAGGTTCTTGCTAGAGGCTTCACAACACTTTGTACTAGGTCCAGCACTGACTTCGCCAGGGGGTGACAGCAGAACTGTGTTCTGGCCATCAGGCTGAGGGTCCTGATGGTCAGAGCTCTCTGAGCCACCAGTTCTTCATCCAAGGCATCATCTGCACCTTGCTACAGAGATACCAGCCAGGGAAACCACATAACTGAGTCCTTAAAGCAGCCCCATATAACGCATACAGTCTTATACCCAAGCTCAGGGAAATCACACAAAGTTACAAAAGCCAACACATGTGAGAAAATAGCACTTAAGCATCGGTCCTGTGAGAGTGTCTCTGTACCTCCTACTGTAGGAAGTGAAGTTTTGCCCATCTTCATAAGCGAAGGTAAGATGAGATTGTCAAGAAAAGCTACTTTTTCCCAACCTTTTAAAAAATTGAACTATTGTTCACGTACCACAAAACTTACCTATGTATGTAGGAAGAAGAGGGTTTCTGGGGTTTCAACACAAGGCTTTCACACTAAGCTATAGCCCTGGCTTAAAAAAAAAATAAAAAATTGAGACAGGTTCTCACTAAGTTCCCCGGGCTGGGCTTGAATTTGGGATCCTCTTGCCTCAGCCTCCGAGAGTGCTAGGATTATAGGTATGTGCCATCATACCCAGCAAAACTCACTTTTTGAAGTGTACGATCCAGTGCTTTTTTAGTATGGTCACGAAATTGTGCAACCATCACTACTATAAATTCAAAAGTATTTTCATTACTCTAAGAAGAAACCCAGTATCCCTTAGCAGTCTCTCCCTTTTCTTGTTCTACCAGCCCTATCAACTATGAAATCACTTTCTCTGCCCTGGACATTTCATATACTGTATATAGAACATACAGCATGTGTCTGGTTTTGTGCACTTAACATAATGTGTTCAAAGTTCCTCCATGTAGTAGCATGAATAAGGTATTTATTCCTTTAGATTGTTGACTAACATTCCATCATATGGATATGTAACACATGGTATCCACTCCTCAGATGGTGGCCATTTGAGTATTTCTAATGTGTTGCTCTTATGAGTAATGCAGCTCTAAAAGGCATGCAAGGATTTGTGTGGACATGCTTCATTTCTTCTGGGCATATCTTAGGAAAGCAATCTTGGAAGAATTTAAGTAATGTAAAATACAGGAGATCTCATTTTCATTATTCTTTTTGTGATTGTTTCTAGTTCCCGTTAGTGTCTGACTTGTTTCGTGATGACAAGGATGCCATTTCTGCCACCACCCCAGCGGGGAAGGGGTCATCTTCCAAGATCAACATTCGCTCTGCCAAACCCCCCATGAAGGCCTCCAACAAAGACCACAAGAAAACTGTGGGCCACCAGGTAAGCCCCAGGCTCATGGCCGGAAGCCATGGCTGTGGCATGTGTGGCGGGGCTGGCTTCTCTGTTGATACGGCTGCAAGGGCAAGCAGACCACAGTGGCCTTGGCACCAATGGCCTTGGCCACATAGATCAATTTCTGTCTTTTGAAGATGAAACTCCGAAACCTCTGCTAGGAGGACTAACGGAAGAAAGGGGAAGGGGAATGAGGACAGCCCCAGTCGGTGCATGAATTGCTGAGGCACAGCCACAGTGATTAGCTTCAAGGGAGGCAGAGGGTCACATCTACAGGGTAGGGAGGAGAGTTGAATAAACCCAGGGATCAAGAGAATGCCAAACAACTTCTCCCTTCCTTAAGGCCTCTGTTGGCATTCCGCCACTGCATTTCCAGTGAGGAGCTCTTGGCTGCCACCACTTTTATTCCTGTGGATTTGCCAGTTCTGGACATCTGATACACATGCAGTTACTCCCACGATGCTCCCCCATTGGAAGTCAAGGCTGCAAGGCCCCAGTGTGCAGCTGTCAACTGCCTCTTATCTCTCAGCATTCACTTGCCTTGTCATCCCATCCCCGTGGGAATTAAGAACATTAAGGGATGGTCTCTGCTTATTTAGTTTGAGTAGGGCCTCCTAGGGGAAGGACTTGAGTTTTGGTCCCAGTGAGGTAGCAGTGTCAGCGGGAATCTGATTATAGGTCTCTGAGTTTCTTCCCCTGTTCTTTTGAACTAATAGCAATAGCAGTAGCAACTACTACTGTCACCACCAGTATATGAGTTTTTCTTTATCTCACGCTCAACAAAATGTGAAAAATAACCAAATGCTGGCTTTTGCCTCCCCAGTTCCGCAACTCACTGAATCGCCTCATGGAGACCCTAAATGCCACCACACCACACTATGTCCGCTGCATCAAGCCCAACGATGACAAGCTGCCGTTTTAGTAAGTACTGCTAGGCATAGGCAAGCCCAAGATCCACATCAGGGTGATGGGATGGGCCCACTCTTGTAGGGTTCTGCAGCTTCAGCATGGTGACCGGTAAGGTGGGTGAACACAGGCCGACAGATGTTACTGGATTGTACCTGCCACTCTCCTGGATTCAAGAGGGCGGAAAGATACTGTTCTTCAGTTACCTGGGGCTTGCAGTGCTGCTGGATGTGCATTCCTGAATCAAATGTGAGGCTCTTGTAGAAGCGTGTCATTAAATGTGGAAGGCTGTGTCTGACCCATGAAATGTTAAATTCAGACACATGAGGATAGCAGGAGTGGTCAGAAAGGGCATTTCTGGTACTGAGAGATCCAGCCCTCAAACAGCACATGGGGTGTTAGGACACAAAGGTAGTCCTGCTTCTCACATTGCCTCTGCCACTGCACTTCCAGGTTAGCCACTATTACCTTCTCCTCACTCATTACCTCTGCCTTGAAATTGTTCCTTGTAGTTCTGTCCACATTCATTTGGCTGACTTCATGCAAATCTGTTTTAAGAGTAGCTCTTAATTATCTTTGTCCACCTTTGGTTTCTGCCAAATTCCAGGCCAGTATTTCTGCATGCTGCCACAGCCTCCTCGGCCACCTCACTTTCAACAGGATTGAGACCACACTCATGATCTTTTCCTTCCAAAATGATTGCTCTTGCTTTTGTCTCTGCGTTAGTGAATGGGGTAACCATTCCTGACATTCTATTCACCCACAAGACCTGATGCCCCACACTAGAAACCTGAGTCACTCTCTGCCAGCTCTGTCCAGCAGGATCTTCTGTGATGATGGCACTGTTCCGTACACAACATCATCCAGTGCGGTAGCTGCTGGTCCCGTGTGGCACTCGGTGCCTAAAATGTGGCTAGTGTAGTTGAGGAACTGAATGTTTCATTCAAATGTCACATTCCCACAGGTGGTGAGTGGCTAGCATGTTGCACAGCACACCCCTTGACTCTGCCACCTTTACCCCCATTGTCTGGTCATTGTTAAAGTCCCGTGGAATCTACATTAAAATTTAACTTATCATCTCTTTTTTTTCTTCTCCTATCTCCTTATTCCAGATCCTCTTCATTTCTTTTTCCTTGAACATTTTTATGGACATGTATCAATTACACATATTAATGGGGTTCAGTGTGATATTTCAGTACTGACGTATAGCAGCCACTGATCAAATCTAGCTGCCCTTTATTCACCCCTCCCTTTCCGTGTTCACTCTCATGTGGAATCCAGAAGTCAGCCTGACTGTGTGACCATGACACCCACACCCCCTTCCTGCCTGCAGCACACCCCGGGCCATTACCCACCTTAGCAGCTCCTCTTCCCCGACTCCAGTCCTCCACGTGCCATTCCCTCTGGCCAGGGAACATATATATGTTGTTGATTTTTCTTAAATGCCTTATTCCCACCTTTCTTTATGCTAAGCCCAAAAGGGAAACCGTGGAAATTTCTTCCTATGAAATCAATCATTTTGCCAACTCTGACTCTCAGACTGAGCATTTGAACTGCCTTCTGCAGTTGCTGTCATTTAATAAAGCCTGAGCCCCGCCTGGGCCTCATGGTGGAACAGGGCCAAGGAGACAGTAGTGAGTCACTCTTCTCTGAAGTGTGCTGACTGCTCACTTTCTTTCTTCCTCCACATTCTGAGATGCGCCTAGGAGCCCCGCCCCTCCAATGTGGCATCTGCTTACTGGCTGGCTGCAGGAAAAGAAGCTGATGGAAGAGCAGTGTGTGTGAAAGATGCAGATTGTGTGTGAAGGGCAGAGTAATGTGAAGGGCCTGGGACAGGAAAGATGGTGCTCAGTGCCTGTTCTGCCCCAGCCAGCTGTGACCCTGGGCAGTTCATTGACCAAAGCTTGGTATCTTCCAAGTGCCAGGTACTCTGTGGGCTTCCTTCCCATTTGAGACATGGACGAGAAAGACACTTTCTAATCTAAGACCCTCTTTTGCCTCCAGGACCAAAATTTTTCAACAAATGCAGAGAATGGGAAGAATAAAAATAATGGTGAAAAAAAAACAACAGCAGCAGCAATGATCCAAATCAGAAAACCTGAATTCTTGTTCACGCTCACTACTGATTATTTGGCTAATCAGAAAGCAGTTGTTTATTGTCTTTGTCTCATTGCTTTATCTGTTAATTGTGACTTTATAATATCCTGATGAACAGTTAATGCTGCATTTTTTGACCAATTTTGCATGCTTTTATCTGGTAATCTGAACAACTACTTTGAAGACAACAATATGCAATATAACAGCCATTGTTGAATTCATATCATCTTGTTTTTTGAAATTCTGTATCATTTCTAATGGGTTTTTTTTACTATTTTTTATTCTCTTTAAAATATAATATTCTGATGAAAAAATCCTAGGAGATAATGAGTGGGAATTACTTGTAAGAAGTATAAGCATTCATATGATTAGAATTATTGTTATATAGACATTTTTCTAGAAGGAAATTAATGTATTGTTCTTCCCATTCCATGTAAGTTTCTCGGTGTTAGTACTATTGACATTTCAGAGCATTATTTGTCATAAGGGACCATGTTGTGCATTGTAGGATGTTTAGAAGCATCACTGGCCTCTGCCCACTGGATACCAGTACCATTCCCACCACTGTGGCAATTAAAAATGGGTTTAGACACTGACCATGTTCCCTGGAGAATAAAATTGCCGCATTGAGAATCACTGTCCTATACCGAATGCTTTGGTAGCAGCTCTTATTTTTCTCTCTGCTTTCTTTATTCAAGAAACTTCTCTCATACCTCTTATTAGGAACTGGGGTAGGACATTAGGAGTGGCCCATCACATATAACTGACAGTGCCCCAGAAATGACTGTCAGCAACCCTGAGAAAGTGCTACTGGAATAGAGACAAAAAAACAAACAAGCAAACACGTACAATAAAGGGTCTTTCCTCACCCAGGGAAGAGGTAGCCTGGGGTGAATGTCATAATCTAGAATCGGTTGGAAGAGGACCTGGCCAGGTTTCTTGAGGTCAGCCCACCAGTCCCAGGGTCTTGGGTCCTGAGCTGTCCTTGTAAGATTCTACCAGGCCTGAAAAATAACAGGATTGACTGAGTGACATCTGACAGCAGAAGTGGAGCCCGGTGCTGATCCCGCTGCTGTTCTGCACCTTGTACTGGTGGACACCTGCAGTTTGACTCCACGTATCTTTTGTGACCTGAATTAGATGTTCATTGTCCTCACCAGAGTCCTCCAGAATTTAATAGCAGAAGGCCAGCTTTTCCATTCTTCATCAACCCATAGTGACTGCAGGCAGGCAGTGGGGACATGTGCTTGACAGGGAGTTTTCTGTACTACTGAGGGTGTAGTAGTACAGAAGACTGACTGTCTTTACAGCTCCCCAGGGCGTATGAACAGGGAAAGAGTGGCAATATCTTCTTTGTATCATGTCTTTTTGCTTTTCTCTGAAAAGTCCTTTTTATTCGTATCACTTGATTACAGCAAAACTTGAAAGTTGTAGACAAGCAGGTGTCCTCAGCACCCACTGAGTGAATGAGGAAAATGTGTTGTGGAGAGATCATGTCTTCTGCAGAGTGATGCCAGCCAACAGTGGCAGAGCTGAAGCTGACCCTCGTTCACTCCTTTAGCCCAGAGCCCAGGGATGATGTTGCCATCTTGGGAGGGAAGAGCAATTGTGAGGAATGGAGTGATTTGGCTGAGCTTACTTGCTGAGCTCTAAGCATGGTGTGTGCAGCTCCAAGAAAAGACTGACCATGCACACACCATTCCCAACAGACTTCTGCTATGTTGTGTGGGGGTAGAGACATCCAGTAAGCCATTGCCTGGCCATCAGACCAGGACCCAGTTGACAGCTGGGATGCACAGTGTCCACAAAGCGTGTTGTGGAGAAGGGAGGGTTGGGGTGGCCGGAAAGAGGAATGATTCTTTTAAGGAAGGAAGTGGTTCTTAGGGAGCATCTGTTTTTTGTCCACTGAAGTGGTGGGAGGTCCTAGAGGGAGTAGAGACCCTACCCCACGGCACCAGGGGTGTCACAGATGCTTCAAGGCATGCCGCCATCCCTACCATGTGGAGCGGGATGAGTTCCTATACATGTGTCAGGCAGAGAGAAGGCACCAGTAGTCACATGATTGCTGTGGTGAGGTGTGGGGTCCTGGGGAGGGAGCCCCACAGTCCATAGGCTGTCTTTCCAAAGCTCAGGTACATCCCCTTTGCACTCAACTTGGGCACAGCTGCCTGCCTTGGAGGTGTAAGGAGCAGAGATGACAGTAAAGCCTGCTCCCCAAATGCTGTGCGTAGTCACCGGGAGTCTTAATGTCCAACACAGAGACTCCCTGATCGCGCAGCCAACCTGATGTGTTTTCCTCAGGTGGTCCTGCAGCACTTTAACCATGTTTCCTACTGTCTGCCTTGTAGTGTACACTACTGTGCCCTCTCCTCTCCAAGCACTGCTGCCCTTAGGAAGCTCATGTAAGGTCCGAGTTACTCTACAGCATCACACTCAATGTCTGTGTGAGTGAATATTAGTTTTTGGGTGCTAGGCTTGACATCATAGGGCATGGGAATGATTTAAAATGGGCCCATCTCTCTAAAGATGGAAAGAAAGTTCTTCATCTATATGATTTTTCTTTTGGTTGTTTGAGACAGAGTTTCACTATGTAGTTCAGACTGACCTTGAACTCCCTGTGTAGCCCAGGCTGGCCTCAAACTCACCAATCCTTCTGCCTCAGCCTCTGGAATTACAGGCATGCACCACCATGCCCAGCATCTATATGATTCTTAGCATCCGCCATGATCCTAGCTAACTATGTGTGCCCTGATCTTGTGCCAGGAGTGATTTACTTGCTCCCATGGGCTATTTCATTTAATTTCCATACTAACCTTAGAAAATGGGTACTTTAAATATCCCATCTCATACTGACACCCAAAGAGGTTAATCGTGCCTCAAATTACATGTGCTGTTGCTAGTGGCCATGCCATGAGTCAAACCTGGGTCTGCCTGGCCTGAAATTCATCTTTGTAATCACCAAGCCAAATAATGCTTGTGCTGCTAAGTGTGCTATAGGCATATAGCATAAGCTATGAACATAGAATTGGGACACATGCCCACATGGATGGAAACAGGGCAGACTCTGGAGAGGGGGCAGGAATGAGTCTTGGAGGTGGGCAGTGTTCAGATAGGCAAGGAGGGATCACCCAGGCAGGCTTTAAGAATGTACACAGGTGCCTCGTGCATAGCATTGAAGATGCTAAAATGGTTCATTCATCTGCCAGTCAGTCTGTGCTTTACGCCAGCTTTGTATAGAGCCATTCATACACGCTGTGGGAAAGGTGTGCTTTCCTTCTCTCCTGTTCTGTGAGTTATGTGTCAGTGTGGCCGCTCATCACTTGTCTTATTGTTTGGCAGCTTTGACCCAAAGAGAGCCGTGCAGCAACTCAGAGCCTGCGGGGTATTGGAGACGATTCGCATCAGCGCAGCGGGCTATCCATCCAGGTAATGTGCTTCCGGCCACACCCTCCTGGGATGCTAGAGAGCAGCCAGAATGGTGCTCCAGGGAGTCCTCATACTGTTAACCTGAAACAGATCCTTAGAAAAGTTCCTACACCCTGAGAGCCCAGGCACGATGCTGATGGGAATAAGAATTTCAGTTTGACCTGAAAAATACAGGAATCAACAGTAACATCCTTTGGGACAGCTTTTCAGATTTCACCTTGTCACTGGTCTAGGTGAACGAGCTACAGGAGCAAAAGAGATTCCCTCTACGTTCAACTCCTACACATGGCCTTTCATCTTTTTTTTTATAAAATACAGTGGTATAATATTTACCATCTTAACCATTTTTAAACATTTAGTAGCATTATGTTTATATTGTTATGCAACCGTCACTACCATTAAAATACAGTGGCATAATATTTACCATCCTAACCATTTTTAAACATTTAGTAGCATTATGTTTACATTGTTACACAACTGTCGCTACCATCCTTTTACAAAACTCTTCTCATCTTACAAAACATGCAATAAAAACTCCCTGTTTTAGTCCCTGTTTGCTACTATAACAAAATACCTCAAACAAGGTAACTTTATAAAGAAAAGAAGTTTATTTACTTCATAATTTGAGAGGCTGAAAGTCTTAAGACTATGTGGGAGTGATAATATCAGACAGGAAGCCAAATAGGACCTGGGGTCCCACAGTACCTTCTGAGAGTGGTGTCCCAGTTGGACTGAGGACCTTCCGGTATGCCCCACCTCCAAACACCACTACCCTTCAAACTTCAACACATGAATGCTTGAGGAATAAATTGTATCAACCATATCCCTCCCCACTGCCTGTCCCAGCCCCAGCAGCCACCTTTCTGCTTTGTCTCTGAATTTGACAACTCAAGGTGCCTCATATAAACTGAATCATGTAATTCTTTTGTTCTTTGTGATTGGTTTGTGTCACTTAGGATAATGTCTTCAAGGTTCATTTGTATTTACAGCATATGACAGAATTTTCTTCTTTTTGAGGCTGAATAATATGTTCTTGCATGTCTGTATCACACTTTGCCTACCCACTCATCTCTGGTTGGATCCATTTACCTTTTAGCATAGAATCCCTGTGGTGGAAAATATACTTTCATGGACTGATGTACACTGTGGATAAGCCATGGAAGCACTCCAAGTCTGAGGAAGCCATGCCAGGACTATGGATTTTCTGTGGAATCTTGCCTGAAATAGGGGTGGGAAGCAAGTGACAATCCCACTAATTCACACCAAACTACATACCAGTGACATAAACCAAGCACCTTCTGCTGTTACCTGGGACTGAATTGAGCAGTGCAACAACTCAGAGCTGTGATCCTGCCTACAAGGACCAGTCCTTGTGAAGTCCCTTGCATGTCAGGGTGGAAGGTACCAAAAGTTTGGGTGAGGGGAGGTAGCACAGGCCTCCTCTCCACCTGTCACTTTGCCTGCAGTGGAGGGACCATTTCATATGCAGTGGTTAATTATCCATAAAGTGCTTAACCATAAACAATTCCCAAATGTTAGGCCTGGAGGGAAGTTGTTGATGGAATTAGGAATTTGCATTTGACTTGGAAAATAGAACTATCACTAATCTGTAGCATCCAGGCAGCTTTTCAAAACCCAGCAGGATGATCACTGGAGCAAGGTCTAAGGCTATTAATTCTTTCCTTTTCAATTACATCTTTCCTTATTTAGGAAAGGTCTAATTTTTGACTTTGATGTCTTAAACACTGATAGCTAGTCACCTCCCTGTCAGGAACATGGGCTAGTTTCTGCTGCTTTTTTTTATAGTAAACTTTAAAGAATTTATTTCAACTTCACTCACTTATATTTCTTGGAATGGAAATATATACATTATTCAGCAATAAATGCTTTAACCTGAAATTCACTCCAATTAAAGAAAAAATGTACAAAAAAATTCTTTTTTGCTCTTACAACTCAAAATAACATTTTCACAACAGCAAAAACCTTGAACTAAAAATCCACAATTACACATCCTTAAGTGTAATAAGATGGCCACATTCAATTATCTGGAGATGACAAAAAAAATAATAATTAGGGCAGGGCTTTGAGTAACCAAAAGGAAAACTCCCCCAGTTGCTAATTTGCCTTATTTAAGAGTCACCATATTTTTGTCAGTGTTAATCAAGATAGTCTCTGCTTCTCAAATAAGGCTTGGCGTTCCTTTTCTCAGTCTGCCCTGTAGTACCCAGCATCTCTATCTTTTGATTAAGGGGAGAGGGCCCAGGGCCCAGGGCCCAGGTTGAGTGGCTTAGGTGTGAGTTCAAACCACTGACATTTCAGTCCCTGCTATATCCATTAGGTTCAGATCCAACAAAGTTTCATTTAGTTGAAGAGTTAGAAAATGACCTTACGGTGCTGCTGAGCTACTGATCTTCGAACTGAGTTCTGTGGGCAGCTGCTCCACTCTTGGCATTTCACTATTATGTGTATGCGACTCCTAAGACAGGTGTCACCTATCAAAGGCTTCTTTACTTCCACCATTGTTAGTCTCCTGTTTCTCAGAATTGTGTATTGCAACTCATTAGCGGGTCATGAAATCAGTTTAATGAGTTGTGACCAATGTGTTGTTCTTTATTGAAATAACTTGGGTTGGAAATTGTAAGAGGGCAGTTGGTGGCAGAAAGAATACTATGGCATGACTGTTTCTCAGTGTTATGTGAGGTGTGCTGTCATCTACAGTGTGGTCCCATAATGAGACCCAGAGAACAAGTAAGCTGCTGGTGGCTGAGTTGGGTCTAGAGCCAGTGCTCCTCTGCCCATGCTACATTGTCCTTGCTGAACATCTTACTGCTTATGTGCATAAAGTGGTGTCCTCCAAATATAGGTTTACCAGCGGAAGAAGGGGCTTGCTTGGGCGTCCTGAACGACAGTGCTCTCTCCTGTGCCAGGCCTAGACCTGAGACCTGACACAGCACTAACTGCTCCGCATTCTCTCTAACGTTTTGGAGTCCAAACTCTGGAACTGTATGCTGGGCAAAAGCTGAGATAGCCAGAGTTTGTTGAAGCCTGGCCTTTGTAGTTAGGCCTGAGTTCAGGTGTTGGCTGCCATCCTTCATGGGCTGAGTGACCTTGGGCAAGTTAATAAACCTCTCTAAGCCTGGGTTTCCTTATCTTTAAAATGATCATACTTACTTCATAACTGTTGTAAGGAATGAGATAAAGTCCTCAGCACAGTACTAAGCACCTAAGCATTTAATAAAATATTTATCATCAGCCTGATATGAGCAAGAAGTTGCCTCCCTATGAGTGTAGGTATCTGGGAAGAATATGTCTATACCAGAGATTTCTGGCTTTGTTTTTACGAAATCCTAGTGTGTGTGGCTACCTTGAAAGAGTATCCTGAAAGCCTTAAGCAACTGAAAGGGTCAGTTTAAAAGTTATATAAAGGGGCTAGTGGTGTAATTTAGTGGTAGAGCATAGCATGCCCTTCATATGCTCACACACATCATGCCAAACTCTCTAGGGCCATTGTAAAAGTGAGTTTGGAATGTCAGTTTCCACAACCATACCTGTGCTATACACTGCAGAGGCCTGGCAGTAAGCAGAGAAACTGAGTGTTCACCTTTGTGTATAACTTTCCACTGTGTGTCTGATGGTGGGTTTGTAAAGTGGAAGGTATGTAAATCAAGGCCATATCAAGCCATGGAGAAGACACAAGGGAAGCAGATGACAATGGGGTCATCTATGCCAGGTGAAACCTTGGGGGCCATCTCAGTATAAAAGGAGCCACCTGTTTCACCAAGGACTTTCTAAGTAATGGGAGGACAAGTGACTTGAGGAGGTGTCATGCCAAGAGTGTCTCCTTGTACATCAAGAAGAGGCTTAGAAGACATGGATCTGACCTGGTTAACTATAAGCCCTGCATAGGCAGACCTCATTGTCGTATGCTTCCCTTGTGTCTTCTCCATGGCTTGATATGGCCTCTATGCACATCTGCTACCTCTAATGCACCAGCTGAGCTTCCTCAAAGCCTCACCTGGTGAATCGGAGTGACAGTGTGTGTCACCCACACTCCTGCTAGGTTTGCTATCACTGTATAAAACAATCTGTTTTAGAGATAAGAGGAGGAGGTGGTTTACTTCTGGGATCTCATGTGAACTTCATATGAAATGGGAACAGTATTTTGCCTTCTTGAGGTCCTTATCTCCCCTTTAACCTTTCTCCTTCATGTCTCCTGAGTGGAGCGTCCAGCTCTGAGCTGGCCACGCCCACAAGAAACTCACAGCTAAAAGTGGCACAAGCTTGAGGCAGTGAAAGAGCAACTCAAGCAGATGTAAGTTTATAGTGCAAATGTGGGAGGAGTGGAGACTTCTTGGATAAGGTGAGGCTGGAGCTGAGCCTTAAAGAATGAGGAGGATTTGGATTGGTGGGGTGGCATCAGGAAAATGCCACCAGCTGCGAAGCAGCACACAGTCCCAGGATGGACTGCAACTTAAAGAGGGCTTCTCTGCCCTCTCAGCGCCCTGTGCCCACTGCTCAGTCTCCCAGTTGCACCATGCTTGGGCACCAGATGTACTTTTCCCTCATCCAGGCAGCCTTTTCTTGGCAGCTGAAAGAACTCATGGCTGCCAAATCTTCAGAGCCAGGTGGGAACGGCTTCTCCTACTGTTGATTCCACCTGGCTGCAGTCAGAGTTGCCAGCAGGATCAAGATGTGCACAACTTGCTGGCCTCTTACGGGGTGTCTTTTTATTTTCTGCCACCCTAATTGTTTTAGACTTCTTTCTTGTGGGTAAGTACAAGTGCATCTGTGCCTTTTGTTTATGTAATTACAGGTGTTATGAACAGTGTGATGAAGGAAGGAAAGATACACTTCTGGTATCACAGCACATGTTTTCTTTTTTTTTTTTTTTTTTTGGTTTTTGGTTTTTCTCCGGTACCGGGAACTGAACTCACGACCTTGCACTTGCCAGGCAGGCACTTTTGCCGCTGAGCTAAATCCCCAGCCCCCAGCACATGTTT